GTTCTTAACAGAAACATTTTCAGACAGTTATCTGCAGAATGTAGAGAGCCTTATCAGCAGGAGGATTTGAAGAAGAGGCGCATCCTTTTTTCAGTTTTACATCTCTCCTGTGCATTTTAGGTAGAACACATACGTGGTCACTGTTAACTGTGTAATGTGTGCACTAACGTTTTGAAAAGTTCTTGACAATGAATGACAATTGAATGATTAGAAAGCTAGATTAGTTTGTCTTTAAACTGTACTCGCAAGATCCAGAATGTGCTGATTTAAGTACACACTGCTATATGAAAACTGTAAGCTGTGTTTCCAGTGGTTTTGCCTTCATTTTATAGAACAAATATACTACAACAAATTTCAGGAGAAGTTAACTGAAGGGCATTCTGATACTAAAACTGAATCCAACAGGCTAAAACCTTCTCAACTGCCAAATCTTAGTCAGCACGACCATGAATTTAAAACCGACTCTAACATATTTTTAGTTGAGGTCATATTGGCACCAGTACAACAACAAAAAAAGCTATGCTGAGTTGGGACTGTGGACTGAACAAACTCTCCTGTTAAAGTGGAACTAACTCTATACTCAAGTCATGTTTATAGCCTCTACACTTCACTTTATTCCCTTACAGAATATGTCTTGTTGACTGTGGAGATGAATCTTAGTTTTAATTGATTAGTTTTTATTGAATATGATTACAGTAGCTCAACTTGAGTAACTTGATTATCAAACAATCTGTCCTTTAATCTGTCCAAAACTGAATTAGTAGGACATCTCTAAGGACACATGCATTAGAAAACTGCTTAACTGACATTATCTCAACAGTAATCATTAGTTGTTGGTTTAACCCTCATCCATCTGTCATATATATGTATGTGTGTGTGGGGTCCATGGGGGTGTTTGCTGTCAGAAGCAAAACAATAACAAAAGCAAAACTTGATAAAGCATCATTGATAATGCAACTAATGTCATTAGTTTTGCCCATTATGCAAAATGAAAATATATTTAATGCAACTTGCAGCTTTTTATCAGGCAATGTTACCACTTCTGTGGTTTTCTGTCATTTTAAATATGTTTGTGATTTATATGATGAAGTAGTCGAGGTCATTTTGACGCCAATATAAAATAACCGAAATAATCACAGAAATTAGCAAAATAAACACCAGGCAGCGCACATGTGTAATCTTGGTCCTGGGTCTGTCCTGGAGCTGTCTCACCTCCTCCTGGGAAATGACCAAAACATCTCACCCAGGAGGCATCCTGTGCAGATGGTCATACCACCTCAACTGCCTCCTTTCTATGTGGAGGAGAAGTGGCTCTACTCTGCTCTGAGTCCCAAACAACCAAACTCCTAACCCTCACCCACTGCCCCAGTGCAAGCTAGAAGTCATGACTTGACAACGCCAACAGAACCACATCATTTGTCTGCAAATATTATGAACAGAGTTTTTATTTTCTGTGGCTGTAAAGGGACAAGAAACAACCTAATTAGACTAAAGCTAGCCAGACGGAATGGGCAGTTGTAGTATTTTCCGCATGCTATGCTAGCAATGAAAAAAGGAGCAAATAGTTTCAACCTTCCTGTCTGTGAATCAGGGGC